CAGGGACAGCCTGCTCCTGCGCCTTTAAGACTTCCTTCTTGAAGATCGTCCAGCCTTCCTGGACCCCTTTGCCCTTCAGGACTGTCTCCCAAGGGACTCTCTCAACCAGCGTCCTGAACAGGACAAAGTCTGCCCTCTGGAAGTCCATGGTTGCGGTTTTGCTGCCCCCCCTCCTTACTTCACCGAGAATTGAGAATTCTACCATTGAGAAATTGAGAATTCTAACCATTTTCAGTGGTTAAGTTTGGAATCATCTTATTGCAAAGCAGTCTTAAATATTTTTAAAACCAAGTGTTCACAGAGCACCTTTTACTTTCGGCATAGTAAATGGCATTTGGGAAACAAGATAGGACTGTTTTCTTCTTGGTAAGTCCCCTGTGTGAACGTGGAAGAATGAGAATCATGAAGTAAAATTCAGGACAAGTAAGTGATGGGTTTGATAAAACCTGTCATGCTGTCCTTTTAACGCCTGAAGGATCCATATTCTTCATACTGTGAAGTATTTTGTTATGCTGGGTTTAGAAGACTACATGACTAAGATCTGCTTAGGCTTTCTTTGTAACTGGAAAAATGGAACTGTAGCTTTGGTTCTTCTTCCTTTGAAGTCCTGATCGATGTTTCCCCAGGTGAATAAGTGCTAACACTATACTGTTACTCATGATTTTCAGTTATTTTTCGCTTGGAGACTGCAGAATATAACTCTCTCTTTCCAGAGGGCATCTTTGTATTAATTCATTTGAAAGTTATAGATAGTGGTCAGCTTTACAAGTCATTGCAAGTAAGAAATAGTTTCTGTTTTTACTGTGGGACAGATGAAACTAATTTGAAAGAGGGGAGGAGAGCTATTCATAACTGGAAAAAATAGTAAATACACAGCTGTCTTTACTGATGTCATTAACAATTCAGGAATATTTTTGAGTAACAACTGATGGGAAATTTCAATGAGAGAAAGTAGGCATGTTGAACAAAGAAGCTAGAAAAAAAGCTGGTGTTCAAGGCAATTTTTATTTTCATTGGCTTTTAACTTGGAAGTAGCAAGAATATCGAAGGTTTGAAAAATGGCATCTCATGTGTGTCATACTGTAAACTTTGAAAATAACTTTTTATCTACCACAAACAATCACTTCATTCAGTTTTGTTCTCCATGTAATATTGGGATTCTCCTGTATTTTGTTTTGTCTTTTTAAGAATATTAAGCTCCCAGAAAGATTATTTTGGTTTATTAGCAACAAATAGTGAAAAACAAAAATCAATGAATTATAAAGCCAAAAAGGACTATTATAAACAACACTGAGCTGCATAAATCTGGCCATCAGTATGTTCTGCATTAACTTCACTTTCAAATATCTCTTAATCTTAAAAATTTCCATTGGTGTAATGCCTGTACTTTTGAATTTCTTCTTTCATTTCTGACACAGAACTGCACCTTCTTGGGGTTTTTTACCATTCACTCTTTCAAAATTGCACAAATAACTGTTTGCTCTGTATTCCAACCCTGCTTTCTTCCTGTTTTTCTGTTGCAGATCTAAATATTTGACAAGAGCTAATTAGTTAACTTCAGCAATACAAATCTGATTTCAAAATAAGTATATTATAAATTAGTCATTGCTGATAAGGGGAAGGGATTTAAATGAGGTAATTGCTGTGTTACCTTTTTGTGTGGTTTATGTATAGCTTTAAATAGAAATCTCTAATGGCTTGAATCTGAGTTATTTGGTGGTGAAATTTTGTTATGACACTTCACTATTTTGATATGCCCCAAATATTTTTTTTTAATAGATCATCCTAGGCTTTCTTTTAATAGTGGCTTTAAAAACCTTGGATCAGGTTGTATGTTTGACATTTGACACCTTTTTGTACTGATCTACAGGCAGCAGTTAAATCAAAAAAAGCTACAGATACCTATAAACTATACGTGGAGAAATATGCTGCATTTAAAACTGATTTTGAACAGAAAATGACAGAAACTGCACAGGTAAGTGTTATATTAAAGGAGTTACCTTTAAAATAGATTAATATATGCTATTCCATCTCTGAAGACATCTGAAATCAAAACTTTTGAATAATTGGTTCAAGATAGAATGATCTCCTTTGGAAATTGATATGAACAATAATGTCAGAAGTAGTATGTGTGAAGGGCAAACACTGACCACATATGTTGTGATGGCACTGTCCTTGAATGACACAGCTGACATTTCTAGTACTCTAGAAAGACATTTCAAAGAAATTTTTAGGAATAAAACAAAATGAACTTCTGGAAGTATTGTAGATGCATTGTGATCATGTGGGAAATCCTGTGAATTGCTGAACACCCAGAACTCATTCACAGGAGTTTTAATACTGGGTTCTGTCATGGATTTTTCATTATCATTCTGGCAAAACACTTTAGTTACAGCTTGTTAAAGTGTCTTCCCAGGGTTTACCTGAGGTTGTGAAAAGCCCTTACATCTGTTTAAGTTTTGGGGTTTTTTTAAAAGACTTTTGATCTGTATTCCAGAGTATATCAAGTTCTCTGTATGATTGCATGTGCTGCTGCTTGTTACATTTTAAAGTTTCTTTTTCAAATCTGTTGACAGCAGACTTTTTTCCACTGCCCCAGATTTCAAAAAGCAAACTTCTTCATTTCTGCTTTTAGTAGTAATAGTTAGTTGAGGACTGGTTGGCATATTTATTTGTATATGTTTCGTGGTTTGGTAAAGCTTTTACAAGATAAGAATTTTCTTTTTGGTTGAAAACTCTTTGCTCTCTTCATTAGTTTCAAAGATTAATTTTTAGGCATAGATGGAATTATTAGGGAGATTCAGTCATACTTGTATTTTTAACGTGTAAGTGGGAAAGTGTTAGGGTTTCCCTTAATTCCTTGGAAATTAAGATTTCACAGCAAGGGGATTGTGTAGGCTGACATGTAAAAAGCTGCCCTGTCCTAAACTGTAAACTGCTTTCCTACTTTGAGAATTTCATTAGAATTTGATCTAGTTCGTCTCTGAATAGATACTCAACGCAGCTGTTAGAGAAAGGCTACCACATATATCACATACCAGAACGCTTCCCTCCCACCCCCCAGTTCACGCATTTGCAACAGTGCTCAGGCATGCTACTGCAAAATCCTGCTTTAACACAACTGTCACATTAGAAGTCTTGACAACCTTTCCTTGAAGAGTTTGCAGAAGGCATCTTTTTGTGCAGTATCCTGACTTGATTCTGGTTGAAGGAGCTGTACTCCTTATGCTTTTCTTTTCAGTTTGAGTGAAATTAGGGTACGTACATTATTTCTCTCTCCTTTTAAAAAAAATCCGTGACTTTTAAATGCTTTTTTTTTTATTGTGGCGTGTAAAACAGTGATGGTTGCAGTTACTCAGTGGTATAAAAAGGCTTTATTAAAAATAAAAGTTCAACAAGAAAATTCATGGGTACTGTGGTCTAGGCCATAAGGTCTGTTGTACTCGTGTCTTATCTCTGGTGTGTGACGCTGCATTTTCAATGTTTTAAGCTAGTATTGCTGTCAAAAGTAGCAGTTGTTCTATTTCCATGCTTCTTCCTTTGTCAAGTATTTATGCAAGGAACTACCTTGTAGAACTAATCCAGCTAAAACTAATGTATGAAGGAAGGTTGGCTTTAACCCAGAAGAGACCTGCAGTCTGCTTCATTAAGAGATCACACAAACATTTGTCCTGGCACAAAGGCAGAGGCAATGTGGTACCAAGGGTAGAGAATTGCATCTTTAAGCTGGTTTAATGTGTGACACCGGCCTGGACTCACTTGCATATGTGTCCACCTTACTTACACGTTTACATCTGTTGCCTTAGCATTATGTTTCTCTCACTGTAACTTAAAGTATTTGCGTATCAGTTATGCCTAGGCAATTTGACTGGGGTTAGGATTGGAATTGGCATGTGTGATTACAATCTCTTGAGAATTTTGGGACTAGGCAACTTTTAAATTTAACTAATACATATCTTAAAACAATTCTTGGAAACAAGTGTAATATAATAGCAACAAAAGAATCATTGAAGTGTATCATTCCTCCTGGAGAGTTTCCAGAAATAAGAGTAGGTGGAATCAAACTGACATGTGAACACATACTGCTGCTACCCAAAATGGTAACTTTTTTGTAGTGTTCCTGTTAATGTAACTATTGTATCTGCTCAGTAAGCATTCCAGTAACTCCATCATTGTGTGGTTTGTATAAAGTGTAGTGCGGCCTGACTTTTGCTGTAGACCCTGCCTTTTGCTACAAAGAAATCAAGTAATACCAGAAAAAATACTGCACTGTTCCATTTATTTGTCTCAAGTCATATACAAGTGTGGCTCTTCTGAATCAAGAAGTTCCTGCTCTGTTTGTTACTTACCTTGCTCTGGAAGTTACTGAACCCCCACTGAAATAGATCCTGTGAATGCTTCTGATCCGCTGCAGAGCGTGTTCAATCAGGTTGCTTTAAACCTTTATTTAATCTCATAAAAGCTGTCTGCTGTCTATTCCTTACCTTACAAAAAAGAGACTGTTTATAGCAGTTGACTTATTGCTCTCTGAAACAATAAGAAAAAAATTAATAAATATGACTTTAATAAGCTGGCCTTGCTAAATTGCGTTATAAACTTGTCTCCAGTGAGCAAGAAAGCTGTGAGTAATGAAAAGGAGTTCTTGTTTAGTACTGACAGAAGATAAACATGAAGAGTATTTGAAATGGATTTTATTGTCAGTGAATTAGTGAAGGAAAATGTAGGGACTTTCAGCAAGCAAACTAGCTGGGCTTTTCATTATGTACTAAAAAAAAAAATCCATTTGAACAATCCACTACAACAAAAGAATAAGAAAAGTAACAGCTTATTTTGTATCTAGAGACAGAATATGAAGGTGCTCTTTGTTCAGCTTTCTTATTTGTGTTATTAGGTAGGTATTACATATTTAAACCAGGCTGAGATGTAGAGAGAGAAAAAAAATCTTTTTATTATATCGCACATTATAGCTGGGAAAACCTGACCATGCTTTTGGGCTGCTTTGGTTTTGGTAGTTTGTTGGGTTGAGTTGGTTTTTTTTGGTGGGGAGGAGAGGGGCAGGGAAGAGACAGTTAGGATCTTTTTGGTTCAGGTTGGGTTTTTTTCCAATAGAAAAATGGTACCAAGTTACCTCTTACTACAAACCACACTCATCTAAATGTCCTTAGTTCCTTAACTGCAACAAACAACCCTTTCACTTAAAATTTAAATTTTCACTTAACATGATAATGGACACCTGGAAACTTTCCACACCTGTCCACATTGGAAATGAAAATTGCCATTCTGCCAGTGTAAGTCCTATTTGTGGAATTTGTTTTAAGTATAATGGTGTAGCTGCATCTACAGTTTGGTTGCAGGAGGGCTACTTTAAAGATGATGCGATAGGAAAAATAACAACACCCATGAATATGTGGAAGCCCACTTCTATATGAAACACGCCCTAGATTATCTTAATTTAGAGTACATTTCACTTGAAATATACTAGTTCTGAAAACAAAATCAATGAGGAGTGTGAGCATTCTCAGCTATTTTAGTGCAAAATCTGTTGGCTTAGCTTAAATCTGTCTTATACAGTTCACATACTATTTTTCTGAGGTCAAATGTCTTGAATTGCTGTGGTGTTATTCTAGGTAATCATGTAGTGATGTCCTCACTTAACTGTCCTCTTTTCTTAAGTTAAACTCCACTGATCTTGTTGCATAAATTTTACGTATTTTTCCTTTTTTGTTATTTACTATCTTACCTGCAGTTATCAAACTGAAGTGACTCATAATATGTGATTTTGAGAGGTTGAATTTTGAAACATATGATCTTCCTAATCTTGAATTGCAAGTTATGGTTTTTTTCTGTGATTAAACATGGAAGGGTTTATTGTGACTACAGAAGTAGGGAAATATAGTTCACTGTTTTTTTAGAAATTTGATTTGACAGAAACTCCTCATGTTGAAAGATTTTTCTGAGTAAAGCTATAGTTGTATTATGCAATTGCTATGCAGTTGCTAAGAAAACATGATGTCTTATTTGCCAGGTTTTCTACCTTGCTAGAAGCTTTTTTTAAAATCACATAGCACAGTCAATTATTGGAAAGGATCAAATAGCTGAAGGTACTAAATTATTCTTTAAAAGTCTTCTGTCTTATCTAGAACTGAGTAGAGTTGAGTTTGGATGATTTTGCTGTTGAGCAGTCTGCATATAAATAAAGTTCAAGAATGAGTAATAATTTATTTTTAAAAAACATTGTAAAACTTACAGGAAAACATACAGGTTTATAACAAGGAATAATGCTTACTTGAATTGTGTACACTGAGTTGGACAGCTAAAGATCCTGTTGATGATGATTTTTCATTTGTATTGTAGCTTAAAACACTGAGAAGTGGCTTGCATTTGTTGGATCATTAACATTACAGATTCCTTTCAGTACATCTTTTTAAAATGGACTGATCTTTCAAAAGTGAAAGTAAACAATTTGGTTAATGATTATATCTGTGATATGAATGATGTGGTTGTATTATGGTACCTAGCTTTATTCTTTGATCAGAACCTCTTTGTATTATGTACTGTACAGGGCCAAGATGGCTCTACTTCAAAGACTTTAAGCCTTAAGTATAAAACAATAAACAAGAAATAAGGAAACAGTTGGGGAAGGGGGATGCTTTCCACTGACATAAGAGACAAAAAAATTTCTGAATGGCCAACTGTTTTGATATGCATTATAGAGAAGAGTTTAAAGGAGACTGGTACCTCTGTTTTGCAGAGTCTTATGGGGAGCTCAAACCGAACATGCAGGAAGCATCATTGGCGTAATCTCAAAAGTTGACTTTGTGTTTAGGTTAAAATTAGGTAGTGGAAACAGGCACACATTGGAAGGACACATTGTGTACATGTGTTGACACCCTGATAGTAACTGAGAGCAGATATTATAGAGGTGGACCATAGATAGTTCTGAAAGCAAAATAATATAGTTTATGTAATAAGGCAATCAGTAAAAGAAGTAACACCATAGAGTAGGCTACACAGAATGACCATATCCTCTGTAATTAAGAGGAAGGCTGCTGGAGAAAAAAGAAAATTTTAATCTGCTTGATCGATAGCTAGAGAGATACGTAAGTATGGCAAAAAAAAGATTGAGAGTTCAGAAGTTACAGATATTTGACTTGTCTGTATGGAGTTGTGTTTGTGAATCAGAGTAGCAGGAGGTGTGACATGCAGAGAGGTGGTCTTCAGAGAACCCTGTACAAATTGGAGAGAGGATTAAGTGGTACTCCAAAGTTTGGACACGCTTGAAAGGGCAGTTACAGAAATAGGAAGAGAACTAGGACAGAGCAGGAGTAAACAAAGATTTCAAGACAATTATGGTTGACCGTTGGGGAGGATGAGGACATTTTTAGTTCTGATCATGGGCTAGGAAGGGGTCATTGAAAACATTGGAAGTGATTTTAAAATGGCTGTCAGCTGGAAGTCTGGGTAAAATGGAATTAACTGCAAAGATTATATACGGTGAGTTTAAAGATCAAACAAATGAATTGTATTTAAAGAGGCAAAGGATATAGATTTAACTAGAAAAAGAGAAAGCATGTGTATATTGTGAGCAGGAGGAGAGGGCGCTAAGAAGGAAGCGCAAAACAGATCCAGAAATAAGATTTCTGGGTTTAGAAGAAAACAGACTCTTCAGTAATGGAGAAAATAGATTTTTTTTTTTTTTAAACACTCTCTAACCCTAATTTCTTTTGGTAGAAATAGGTCAGATTTTTTGGAGGGGAAAAAAAAAAAGATAGATGGAGGTTTAAAGAGTAAGTAAAAAAAATTGGATAATGGTTCTAAAAGGATTATAATATATTTTAAACTACATTATTTCATAACTATGAATTCTGCACCTTCCTTTCTTAAACATTGTAATTACCATGATCAAGATCTTAAAAAAATTATTCATGTTTTTTTCCATTTACTGTATTTAATTATTAAAATGTAAGGCATAGTATTTCAAGAAATATTTCATTATGATTAATTGCTTGTATTGGTTTACAGAAATTTCAAGACATTGAAGAAACACACCTTCTTCGTATGAAAGAGATTATAGAATCATTGTCAAATACCATAAAAGAAATTCATTTACAAATAGGAGAGGTAATTTTTATATTATCATTTGTTTGTTTGGATTATGCTGCATATTTTTCTTAACTATTAGATGGAACTTTTCTTACCATGTTTGTGGTAATTACAAGTTCACATCTTTCAAATGATGGTAAATTCAACAAAAGCTCAAATTTTTGTGGCTTCCTGTTGCATTTGTAAGTTCAGTATCGCAGATTTTACAGAATAAGTGAATAGATTTTCTCTTAACAGAAAACATGTTTTCACAATTTGAAGAATTTTTAGTGTATTTCAAAGTTCTGTTCCCTAGATTTTAAATTTGCACTCATTTCACACATAATCAGGATACTTGTGCTTTTCTTTGACTAAAACTCTGAAAAGTTTCCAGATTTTTTTATACGCTTTGGGTTTTATGAGCAAATGATCTTCAGTAACAAAAGCTTTTATAGTATCTTTTCTTTAGATGTAAGTTGGTTTAATTAATAATCTTTATACATAGTCCTTGATTTTTAGATGTTTTGAAGTGTAGTTTTATTTGTATACATTTAATTTGAGTTGCTGTTTTCCTCAGTTTTGAGGTTTTCTGCTAATGAATGATGATCACAAAGGTCATGCTATTTATTTCTAAAGCATAGACATACTGCCTTGTTGGAAAAACTTACTAACAACATGTGGTTGTTCCTTTGTCAGACCAAAAACATTACAACAGTAATGCTTTTACTCAAGCAGGTGGGAGCTGTGATAATACAGTAGTAACAGTTCACACCCTTAACTGGTGCTGGCTTAAGAGACTGCTTGTCTTCCTGACATTGTAGTGGGACATGTTGCTGACAAATTCAGAAAATTATATATATACAAGTCGTTTAGATGGAAGAAATGGAAGTAAATCCCAGACCTGTCATCAAGCTGTATTCTTTCATTCCTAATTTGTATCTGTATTGTACACACACTTGCTACTACTAAAGCAAGGAAGGGATTTCCTTGATAAAATGCCTGTTGAATTCTGGAAGCCCTGTAATATATTTTCAAGGGAAGTATTTTGAACCTTAACTTTAGAGAAAAACACTTGAAAAAGTTAATTACATTCTTTGAATTACTGGTTTTTAAATTCCTTTTGTGTGGTGTGGTTTTTTTGAAGGTGCATGAAGAGTTTATTAATAACATGACAAATACTACAGTTGAGAGTTTAATACAGAAATTTGCTGAGTCAAAAGGAACTGGCAAGGAAAGACCTGGTAAGAGATTAAAAATAAGAGTAGGAAATGTTAACTTTAAAACTGTAGATTTCCACTCCTAATAAAAGGTCAAACCCCTGTTTGTTAATGTGTTATATTTTTAATGTACTTTCAATTTCAAATTCTCAGAATTCATTAGCTCTGATATTAAATTATTCATAGAAATTGATTAACACACAATTTATTATGTACGTGTGGTATTTGTGTTCATAAAGCATGGCAATTTATAGCTCTGAGTTCCTCTATGTAGACCTTCAAGGAAGCTTTTAAACTATACTGTTCCTTGGTACATTAGTGAAATTTGTCAAGAAACTGAAGTTCCTTGCACAAACTATGTGTTGTCTGCTATGTGTTTCTGCATGAATTATATTTAAAAACTTTATTTAATATAAATTTATTGATATATTCAGAACAGATGCTTATGGAACTGTTGGAACAGTTGCATCAGTTTATTTGGTTAGCTTACAGAATTATGCATTTTAATACGTTGTGTGTAAATTGTTCTTTACTAAGCAGCAAATTGAATAGTACTTTCTGAAAGTACTGCTTGTTGGGTGTGGTGTATAAGACTTTCCTGGGCTGGCATAAAAAGACAATCTCACAGTACTGTTTATCTAGCATTATAGGAAAAACAAAGAGTTCACTTTAATATTTGGGCATGAATACACAGTCACTAGGTGTGTGAATACAGGAATTCAGTAGTACTTTCTATTTTCTTCAGCACTGGGAGTCCTGACTAGCATCTCTGTCCTCTAGTGTAGAAGCACAAAGGTTTTTTTCAGAGCAAAGATACACGTAACAGAGTAGATCTTGAGAATTTATATTAAATTGTTAAATATGTTTACTAGGTATCTTACAATGCCTCTGAGAGGAAACAATGTTTAACATTGTTTCATATTCTTTCTGTGATCCTCTAATGCTGATATCCAAGTGGGCTGAGGTAAGATTGTATATGGTACAATTTTCAAATGTTTCCTGTGTATTTTGCAATTTTTCAGGAAAGATTAAGAAAAGAAGTAGTATGAACTCCAGGGGTTCAAGTTCAGTTGATCTGAAATCAGGACAGACACGTGAATATTCAGTGTGCAGACCTCTTTGACTAGCTATTGCCGAGATGTCATGGCTAGGGATCTCCATCTTGCGTTTAGGATTCTGACTCCCTGGGTTACAAAGACCCAAATGTATCCTAGAGCACTGTGCACTTCAAGTCATACATGTTATTAGCGTGGGTTTTTGCTAGACAAGATAGTAAGTGTAAAAAAGGTAACACTTCACTCTTTAATTTAGTGGGAGAAGTTATACACACTCTGTACTTATTTGCTGCTTTACAGAGTTCTTCAGATTACATTTGAATTTTCTGTGGCCAAATAAAAGCTTTTGCCATAGCAAATTTCATTTCTTCAACTCTTTTAATAGCAAAGTATTCTATGGAAAGATAATGCGTTTAGTGTGGAAACGTATGCACCTTGAATTTTCTTTTACAGTGTTAAGTTATTTTATTGATACTAACTAAAGCAGTCATGATGCAGAGGAAAAGAAAGCACAGGCAAATTCAGCAGTAAAAGAATACAAATTCACAAGAAGTTATGAAGTGTCAAAGATAGGAGACTAGAAACACAGACCACCAGTGATGTTGATTATGGTTACTGCTTCTATTATATTCATTTCATTAACTTAGAATCATATAGCTTTGACAATTACAAAGATTTGGAAAGCAAAGTGAGGTATCAGCCTTCTAGGAATGAAATGGAAACATCCAGTGTGGTAAGGACTGCTTTTTCTTCATTAAAAAAGTACTTCCCTGCATTTGAGAACTGTGCTTAATAGAAAGGTATTTTAACGCATGGAGCAAATGTTGGAAGTCTTTTTGTGTATGATGTATTTATTAATTAGGCTGGAGAAGAAGTTGTCTCCTCAGATAAATCTAAATATTCAACGTAAAAATGATACTGACTTGGCGTACAAAACAGATGTAGAGAAAATGTCTTACGGCTGTCACTGTTGCTTAAGATTCCAGTCCTAAATCTGTTTGAAGGAAATACTTTCAAATCCCCCAGGACTATGTAGGCCTTCTCCCTTCCATATTATTTGTGGGCTAGTATACTAAGTTAGATAGTGGGCCGCTTTCTGAAATACTGAATTTTGAAAACAAAATGAACTAAAAAGGTAATGCGTAACAAAGTATTTTAGTTTATTTCAATATATTCTAACTAAAGTTATAGTTCTTTATAGCAGAGTTCACTTGCTTTTATTATATCTGTAAAAATAAGAATCTGAAATTAAGTACTGAGGAGGACTGTTTTATTGCATGTTTTATAAACAGTTTACAGTGACGTTTTCTAGATATAGGCAATTATTTTCTTAAACTCTCATCTGCATATCTGAAATTTCTCTTTGTACAGTGATGTCCTTTGTACAAGATTATATAGGCTCCCCCTGGTGGCTAATTTCTGTCACCTGACGTCATAATATACAGGGGCTTCTAGAGTTTAACACTTTTTCTAGTACAAATAACATTTCTTTCAAGCAGTAGTGCTTTGTGAGTTTTCTTAATTTTATTTCTGGACTTCTTTACAATGGCTTTTTTTAACTGCTACCTAAATTACTTATCTAGTCAGCTTTATCACCTTCTTTTTACTGAATTTACTATAAATATTTTGTTTTATTTTAATTTAGTTTTTAGTTTACAATTTTTAGTAATATAGTATTTGAAGAAGTTGTATTCATTATTTGTTTTCTTACGTCCATTCAGTGTAAAAAAAAAAAAAAAATGTAGCCACATACATCCAGTTGCAAATCTTTTAATTTTAGCTGAAAAAAAAAATCACTTACATGTAAAACATTGACAAACAGAAAGAGAGCTGGCAGGGCCTGCAATAAGCAGTAAGACTTCAGGTCAGAACTTAAGGTCTTCTCGGAACCGTTTCTAACATCCAGAGGGACCTGGACAAGCTGGAGAAGTGGGCCCATGTGAACCTTATGAGGTTTAACAAGGCCAAGTGCAAGGTCCTGCACCTGGGTCGGGGCAACCCCTGGTATCAATACAGGCTGGGGGGTGAAGGGATTGAGAGCAGCCCTGCCGAGAAGGACTTGGGGGTACTGGTGGATGAAAAGCTGGGCATGAGCCAGCAATGTGCGCTCGCAGCCCAGAAGGCCAACCGTGTCCTGGGCTGCATCCAAAGAAGCGTGGCCAGCAGGTCGAGGGAGGGGATTCTACCCCTCTCCTCTGCTCTGGGGAGACCCCACCTGCAGTACTGTGTCCAGCTCTGGAGCCCTCAGCATAAGAAAGACTCGGACCTGTTGGAGCGGGTCCAAAGGAGGGTCACAAAAATTATCGGGGGATGGAACACCTCTCCTCTGAAGAAAGGCTGAGAGAGTTGGGGTTGTTCAGCCTAGAGAAGAGAAGGCTTCAGGGAGACCTTATTGCAGCCTGTCAGTACTTAAAGGGGGCTTATAAAAGCCCCTAAAGATGGTGGCAAACTTTTTAGCAGGGCCTGTTGCGACAGGACAAGGGGGAATGGCTTTAAACTAAAGGGGGGTAGATTCGGACTAGATAGAAGGAAGAAATTTTTTACGCTGAGGGTGGTGAAACACTGGCACAGGTTGCCCAGAGAGGTGGTGGATGCCCCATCCCTGGAAACATTCAAGGTCAGGTTGGACGGGGCTCTGAGAAACCTGATCTAGTTGAAGATGTCCCTGCCCATGGCAGGGGGCTTGGACTAGATGACCTTTAGAGGTCCCTTCCAACCCAAACTATTCTATGATTCTGTGATATGTTCCTGCTGTTAGGTCTAATAGCAGCTTTGATACCATTGGTTGGAAGATGCTTTTGTCGCTCACGTGGTCCTGCAGCGTTCATCAAAACTTGTTGGCCACTTCTTATGAATCAGTTTTCCGTTTGTAATAGGCTGTTGCTCCATGTTCCTCGGAAAATTCATTTATTGCCTGGCAGAAAACGTCTGCTTTTCTTCCACCCAAAGTATATGTGAAATCAGTAACAGAGATGATGTCTATTCCAGATTAATGACATATCAATGAGTTCTAGCTTTATTTACTTAATCTTCTAATAATCTATTAAAAAATTGGTTTGTTCCGGTATGAAAAGTTGATGCCGTGTGAAATAGAAATTGCTAGGAAGTACAAGCTCTTGTTCTTCCTAGATCTTATGTCTGAAATTTGCAGGATATGTGTTTGAAGAGATTAGTGAATGCCTATATAGCTGTAGTTAGTCATGAATGATTTTTAATTTTTAGCTACTGAATAACTGTGCCCTCTTCTCATATGTGGGGAACTAACTGTGTGTGTTTGTCCCTGTATTAGTTTTTGCCCACAACACAGTTTACCCAGCAGGTACCTTGAAGGCCAAATGAGAAGACTCAGCTGTGCTGCGTTGTCCAAAAAAAACAGGAACAAAAGCCAAATCTAGATGATTTGTTTTCATTAATTTGTTCTGGTGTTGTTGTTAGTGGCTGTTGGTGGTCTATGAAGTTGTTCCTCTTATTTTTGCATTTTTTTCTTAAAACTTTAAAAAAGAGGAAACCAAATTTTTTATTGTAATACAGACAAAAATGGAAAGCCAAAATCCTTTCTGGCTCCTTAGAGATTAAAGATGCATCTTTCACAATCTGAATAAGCCAGAACATGATTTGCAACTGCAACACACAAGTAGGCAGAGATCTGGCAAAGAGGAATAGTCACATGCAAGTGTACCAGTAAAAGCATCTAGAATTTGGGCTGTGGAAAACACAAGCCCATAAAAATACCTCTTGTCTCCTTTCATTATCCATCCAATAAATTTGAACTTTATGGAGGGGCTAGAAGTTTGCATTTTTTAAAACATTGTAAAATTAGTGCCTGCAATCCATCAGTACTTTGGATTAAATGGTAACAAAAGTACTTTACAATGTTTTTTTATCCATGATTGCTGTTGATCAGCCATCACTGGCTCTTGCACATATAGTAAAGCATTTGATTTTTGTCCCCCTTGTCCTTTTAGATAT